GGTCCTCGGTGCCGCTGAAGAAGGGGGATCCCGTTGGCGCAGGGTGGTAGGTACGATGACCAGTTGAGTTTGGGCCGTGCTTTGCAGGGTGGTGCCTTGCTCGGTCGTCTGATCAGGCATTGCTGATGCAGCGGGCAGCTTCCGGCTTCGAAGTTCCAGGTTTGCGTACTCAGCACACTTCCACAGCTTTGCAAGGGAGTTTAATAGCAACGCCAGATAGTAAGTAGGCAGGCAGCCGGCACGGACAGAAATTCTCGAGCAGTCCAGCGTCTACAGCTTGTGCACACACTCGCGCTTCGCAGTCAGAGATGGTGCACTAGTCAGTGCCTTGTGAATTCCTCACTACAAAAGAAACACACTGGTGGTGAACCCTGATGGGGCTGCACATTGCAGATTTTCTTCTTAACCATCTGTGCCACTTGCTCGGGCGGGGAGTGAGTGCACACTGGCTTCCGATAATTTTATCTACAATACATGACAAGCCTCAACCCTGACGGCTTTCTCATAAAAGGTGTAGCATGCTTTTGCAGCGAAAGCTGCTATGAGATCGCAACAAAGGTCGGGTGCGCCATAGTTATCCCCCACCGCCAGTGTCCATAACTACATAATCCTTGATCCTCATCAGCCACAGCCTTACCACCAGACATGCGCGGAATGCGCAGCATAGTCGCAGTGAAAGCTGGAAAAGCGGCCTTTCTGGGGCGAAGCTGCTCAAGCGGTGGGTCTGTCCATGCACGTCTCTCTGTGACTGGTTCGTAACCACCTAGTTGTATGACTCACTCAGCTGGTGGCGCTAGTGTGAGTGACAGACAGACGGACACACGGATGGACAAAGGCACGAGCGGACGGAAGCATGAACACTGGACGGAAGCATGAACTCACAAAAGCATGGTCGAACAGACAGATGCACGATCGGAAGCAGGAATGAACGTATGGATAGACAAATGAACCGACGCTTCGCCTACTCATCATCGTTCACTCCGTAGATATTCTATAATTTTTTTACTCTTTGGGTGACTGCTACAAGCACACTTGTAGGGTACCCACTATGCCAATCATAATTTTTGTGTAGTAGGGAGGCATTCACTATCATCATTCATTATTCTTCGGACAAGTGTGGTACCCGATACACACTTCTGAGGAATTTTGTGTAATTTTTTATGTGGCTGACTATCAAGAATTGTGTCTGAAGCTTTTGTGATGGGTTGGAGCATGCTACGACCCACTCATTATGCAATTTGCATTGTGTGATGCTTGGTTGTTCCTTTGCTGTTCTAAAACGCTTACTCATATAACGAGATTTCTTTCCCCACACCAAGCTTGCTTAAGGTCACTATGAAATTAAGTTTCAAGCACCAGCGTAGCTTTGTGGTATAATACTGGGCTGGCACTCAAGGGACCCGGGTTTGAATACCATTGTGTCCTTGGCGTTTCTATTTTTTTTTCTTATTTAGCGCGAAAAAGGTTACGGACACTGGCGGCAGCGGACAACTACGGCGCACGCAGCCTTTGTTGTGATCTCGTAACAGCTCTCGCTGTAAAAATTGCATAAAATTCCTTGCAAGTGTGTAGCGAGTACCGAGCTTCCCCAAAGAATGGCATAGTGAATGTCACTCTACTTCATAAAAATTATGACTTATGGCATAGTGGGAACCCTAGTGTGTTGTGGTAGTTACCCAGAGTTTAAAATAAGGCTCTGAAAGATTGCTCTTTCAGCTTTCGCTGTGACTCTGCTGCTCGTTCCACGCTGGCCTGGAGTTTCTTTTTTTTTTGCGAAGCAACTCTTTGACAAGCCTGTGTAATGCTGCCCCTCTGTACATACGCGCCGCAGATGTTGGCATGGTGCCACGTAGGTCACGCCACTACTGCACGTTGACGTCGCGTTCCCCTTGCAGTGCGCGCCGATGTCACTCTCTTTCTCGCCTGCCGCCTTGTAAAACCCCTCAAACTTCGTAAGGTGGCAACACTCTCCTCCTACGCTTTCGTTTCTCCTCTCCTTTACACTTTCCTTTTGAACGTGGCGCCACCTGCCTTGCTCCTGCGTAGCAGACGCTGTTTCGCGACGAGAGCATTTACGCCAGCCGTGTAACTCACCCTAAAATTACCTTAACGAGCGTAACGCTGGCCCATGACAGCTCTGTTTAGTGCCACGCGCAACACATGCCTTGATCGAGTTGCTCGGCATTGCAGTGACCAGATGTCAACTTTGTGCGCATCACTCTTCAGTATGTAAAACGTAGAAATGTGATCGTTAGTGAGAACCCCCATTTTTTCTTGGCCTATAGTTTGGCGCATCTCCGAGCAAGTTTTACAGTGTAAATAGCATCGCTCAAACGTTCATGTTTGGCAGCTGCAGTGGCTTACATTTCTATTAGCTGGCGCAACAGTGCCTGAAGGGACAGTGCGACTGTCTTTTCTTACTCAGCGCATGGGTGGTGCAAGCTTCCCCGTATATAGGGGAAGCTTGCATCACCCATGCGCTGAGTAAGAAAAGACTATGTGCACTATATACACAGACTATATACACTATGTGCAGCGAACATTCGCAGCGACTGTCATGCAGTGGACACGTCACCTACGGCAAATTTTCATCTAAGTCTTTAATAATGCGTCGGAAGGCGCTCATCATGTATAGTTTATACATTCGAACAGCTGTGGTTGTTTCATGAAGTGTTTAGGCGCACCAATCATATTTGGGAAATGCACCTTATGAGTGTACCTCACACATGAACCATATCGCTGAAAGAATGAGCTAGCGCATGAATGAACTAACGTGGCACCATAGGATATTACTTCGCGAGAGTTCCACTCGCGGATATAAACGTTCACACAAAATAGCAAATAAGCTATCACGCGAATGGCACATATGTATGAGATTCTTAAACGATGCATGCACCCAATGACTCGAAGGCATGCACGCTTTTGCATAAGTGCCCTTGCATAGCGAGTCCCCGGCTGATCAGTCGACGTTAACAAGCCAATTCGCTCTGAAATATACGAACAGGCAACAAAAACCAACAGAGTACCAACCTTAAAGTGAGTTGCTGCACTCCAGTCTTGTGTATTGAAAATAGCAGCATGGAATCTCTGAAGTTTCGCAATCACAATTTCCATCGTCTTGCCGCGTGCATGCTAAGCGCACAAACCAATGCTGCGAACTCAAACCAGTCGGCGCATAATGGCAAGCAGAACACGTAAACACGTACTTTTTACCCCCCCCCCCCAAAAAGCCCCCGCAGAAGCGTCAAGCGTCACCCGAGGGAGAGTCGCGACGTCCTACACAATTAGATGCGACTTGCCGATGGCATTAGAGCAGGCATTGAATTGATGCAACATCAAACCATGCTCTTCATGAGAGACGTGCAACTTATTTCGCAAAGTGGATTAGAAAACGTTGGCCTGAAGTTTTCACTTCCGATTCTATGTAACCATGTCTTTTGTCGCAACTTGTAAAGAGCTCTCGGCCTTTACTAGAGTCAAACCCTGCTACAACGAAACTGACTGGGCGTAGAAAAAAATTTCGTTGTAGTGAAATCGAAAAATATTGCCAATCTGAGCTAGAAAAAAAAAGGAACATTTATTCTCAAAATTTAAAGTGTCCGCTGCTTCCTATTCTTTCCCAGTAGCATCACAATGCGATTCTCACTCATGCATAGCGATGCCACGATGAAAAGCATGCTGAAACAATGCCTACAACCTCTTTCATGAAACAAACAGTTGCATTAATATGTTATCACCAGCAGCTGTTTGTCGTCAAAGTATATCCGACAACGACAAAATGGAGGCAGGGTATTGTGGAGTAGTGACATTTGCCTTAATCTATGCCATTCTTATCATCCATCACTCCTGGCTGGCTGATTTTGTTGATAATGCGGTCAAACAGTCGCTCTGATTAGGTACCGCAATGGCTAAGCACGAATAAAATTAGAAGCATTGGCATCGGAAAAGACATCGTTCAGCGGAGACACCCTACAGCTGCCCGAAAGCAACCATGAACTGAGCGACTGAGTTTCAGCTTAAAATGGTCAGCAGCTCAAAAGTCAGCGAGTGACTAAAGCAGGGCAGTCTCATTGCCATCTGTATCGAGCAATGGCAGCGCCCATGCTTGCTGAGCAGTGGTGGTTTTTGGTGGTGCCAACACGTGTAGACTTTGTTGTTTGTTGTTGTTAAAGATTGGGTTTACTGTATAGTATTAAATATCTGAGCCTCGAATTGCATCATGAAATTTCGTTAAAGCGGGATGACAGAAGAAAAAGTGTTCGTTGTGGCGACAATATTTATGCATTGACACCTATGGACTGGTGACCGGAAACCGCGAATTCTTCGTTGTAGGGGATACTTCGTTGAAGCGTAATTCATTTTAGCAGGGTTCGACTGTAGACTTGTTTTGCCATCAAAAGCTACAACAACCACTCACAGCAACGAACAGCGACGTCATTCTTGGATGAAACGTATTTGACAGCACAGTGCGCACGAAAGGACAAGTTCGTATCCGTCAAAACAGATGCACTCTGCCCCAAGGAGTCTGCGCCTCGAGAGCAAAAATGGTTGTCGTGAGCAACTAAAATAATGAACACTGTGAACTGTCCCATGCGATGGCATCTGGTCAACATCATCGACCTCGGGAGAGGTCGGAGAAGGGGGAAAAAAGGTGCATGAATAACCATGTGTCGCTACTTTGCGAAGATTTAGGTGCTTTGCCATTTCGTCCCTTAGCCCGCATCACCTGCTGCACGCTTAACGTACACATTGAAACATGTCTGTATGTGTCACCTACAAGACCTACACCAGCCATCACATCAAACGAATCTTCCAGCGCTCACCGCAGCACCCGCTTTAGAGCTGTTCAAACCATGACTCAAACCATGGGCAACGCTGCTGCTTCGCATCATCAGGGTTCCTTCCGGGGAGATGGTCTTTCTTTTTTTTGGCAAAGCACAACTGTAAAAGCAGCCACACATTTGGTCGAGCGGCTGCTTTAGAGAGCACACAGCAGTGGCGTCAGTGCATCTTAATTTGTTTATTCAGCTTTCCTACATCCAGCGGTACAGCAGCGACATTCAATGGTACGAAGACGAGGCAGGCGGTGCAATAGAGAAGCCAATGAACGACACCCGCCGCCACGCTTTGTCCAAGAAAAATAAGGGAGGCGAATTGCACTTAATATGAAGAAGGGCATCACAAAAAACCTCACAACAGAGTGTCGACATGAGGAAACCAGAAAAAGAACACTAGGTCAACATAGCCACATGTACACATATATAAGTACTGTACAAGAAAAGAGTGGCACAATAAAAAAACTCTTAATGGCAAAACAAAGGCACCATGAGAAAGGATTCTAAAATATATAACAAAGGTGTCCAATGGCTCCCAAAATAGCAGAGCAGAACTTTCTATGTATACTGGGCATTGTATAACTGTCTGTAATTGCCCAAACGGTGACCGTGACTTTTTTGATTTTCAGATGTAAAGCTTAGCTGGCAGCCGCCAGATGCGTTCTAATGAGATAAGAAAGACGAGAGCCAATGTTCTCAACTCACGCGACCACATCTCAGAGGGCAGCAGCGTTCCACAAACACAGATGAACAAACTGGAATGCCTCACAAACAGTTATACAATTAACCCGCATGCCTTCGCTCACGAGCATCCCTATAAATATATATCTGGAGGCGTATGTAGTATACACATAGGATTCGGCAGCACACACACGCACACACACTCCTACTGTGTCCTAAAGTGAAGGGCTGAACACTAGCCCATGCAGCAGCCGTATTGGCCAGTTTGCCACGACCAGAGACTGAAAGCAATAAAAGCAGTTCAGAAACCCCTCAAGTCTCAAGATGACTGGTTCTGTATATAGAGGGTTCCAAGAAGACAGTGCCAATATGGAAATGAAAAAATACGGTGTGTCAAAAGTTAAAACTTTGCAAGTCACTTGACGGAAGCGCCCAGTGCAAATGTGAGTTTACAGTAAGACTATGCATCTCGCGGCAAATGTCAAACAAGCGAAGGGCACAGACTCTTGCCCACCCTACAGTGTCACTTTTGTTTCCATTTTTTTTTGTGCCGCACATAATGGCAGCAGGGTTCAAAAAGCGCCACTTTGCACTAAAAGCTGTATCGTCACGCTTGCCACAACATTCGAAGGAGCATTTCGTGTGAGAGGTTCCCGCACACAAAAGCTGAGAGCGCAACATCCAGCCAATGTCGCCAACTTTGAAAAGTCGCCGTAATTATATTTGCCCGCCTGAATGAGCATTGAAGTTCCGTGCATAACAGTGTACGCTCATTTAAATTGTCGGAGCACCTCTCGAAAAAAGCCGCGAATGTGTTTCCATCCTCTGATCAGGATCAGCAAGCTCCATTAACGCTGCACCGTTTGCTACGAACCCCCTTTTCTGCCCCAGCAAGCCCACGAAACCACCAGTGGCTGCAAACATTAGATTAAAAACACCTTTCTTTTCAATCATTGCATGCATTAGAACAGCGGCAAGCACATCTGATGAAATAAAAAACAGCCCATGAAGTAAATCAATGGTGCTCAATCGTCAATTCACGGCACTACAATACAGCTTCAGAAAACCCGATGAACATTCCTCACACTCTCATTACGATGGCACCACTAAAATATATAAGATGCAATAGAAACCACAGGCTGACTTTACTTCAACCTTGTATCGCAGCAGTAACTGGCTAGACCTGTTACCTTTTGCAAAAGTCTTTGCAGTTGAACAATTGAAAAAAAAAAGAGAATAAAACGCGCATTAGTTTAAGTGCTCGCATAAACGCAGTTTTCTTTGAGAACATTCACAGGGAGGAATAATGCAGGACGCAAGGAGCATGCACACAAATAGCGGACCACATCGTTTATTACATTCCCTTTCTGCTGGGGCTCAAAGAAAACAAAAGAAACATGTATTTACAATTCTTCAAAAGCTATGGATTAAAAACAAGACGCGCCCACCTAGCCCCAATCAGTTCAGTGGAGAGAACAACGGATGCATTTTTTTATAGCAGAGCTGAAAAAAAAAAAAATCGGAATAGAGTGTACTGAAATGTGGATTCAATTGGGGTCACTTGAGGCAATTAAATAGAAACAGTACTGAAAAAAAAAAAAACAGCCAAAAACAATGCCTATCCTCTGCACACCACACAAGAAAACCTGTTCTGCAAGAAGGTCACCTAGCGAAAAAATCTATATTGGTTGTCACTAATAATGTGTAGCAATACATCCATACCCCCTCATTCTGCGCATATTCATAAAAAGAGGACTGAATCAGACACTTAGCATTTCACTAAATAGTGTCCATCAATTTCTTTTTTTAAACTTCCCTTTCCAATTTGTGAGAAGTGTCCACAGCCTAATTCACTGGGTTTTCTTCGCAGTTTGGTACTGATTTTTTCAATCAAGCTCTATAAACCTTAACAGCCAGAAGCACCACATCTTTTTCAAACCAGCCTGTCGCATTGGCAATGATACGAACTCCTCCGCATTGAGAGATTTTTTTGTAGCACAAACATCGCTTCATCCAGCACCCTGGAAGTTTTTCGCATGGCTGGCACGTGCCACGGGCTGAATCAATAGCCACAAGCTTTATCTCACTGCTCAGTCAGCCGCACTACGAGCAGCCAGTGACAATCGCACAACCAAACAAAACAAACATGTGGTCTCTTTCCACCAGAAACATGTGGTCTCTTTCCATGTTACCCCGAAAGAGTACAGCAATGTTTTGGAAATCCTCCAAACTGTGCACTGAAGTTTCACCGAGGTGGTGATGTCTAACCCTTTTTGCCGCTATCCACCCTTTCGGTCACCAAAGACATCACAACACCAAACAGTCTGGGTCACCCTTCCCACAAAAAGTTCCCAGGATGCCTACAACTTAGGAAATTAACATACATAGGCACATGTGCTCTCGGGTTGGCAAAATTGGTAAAAAAAAAAAAAAAAAGTTCCAGACAGGCACCACCCTCTGCACCAAACATGGCGTCCACTTGAAACGTAGGCAAGAATCCTGCATTCCTGAGCCACTTGGTGGTGCATCGGGCAGTGGCTCGTATGTAAACAATGCAGCGTTGCGGCAGCGGTAGCGGGAGCAGCAACAGTGCAGCCGGTGCACAACGATCCGCAGCAAGAACTGTCAAGGAGTGGGGTTGTGTTGGTAGCAGCGGCAGCGATGGCAGCAGGACTGTTGAAGTCAACGTCGGGGCAACAAAAAAAAAAATTTGCCTGGATGCAGTGCAGCAGTTGGAGAGACTCTGGAAGCATGAGCTGAGTCACTGCCAAGGCTTTGTCTGCAGGAGGGACTGCTGCTGCTGCGGTCGTCGGTCCTCGGCCAGCAGGGCGCCACCGTGAATGCTCGCAGCGGTCAGTGGCGTCTAGCGGCACTCCCACACCTTGACTGACTGGTCGACGCTGCCCGTCACTACGTACGGCGCTGTGCGGTGGAAATCTGCGCCAAGACATGTGCTCACCGTCACGAACGGTTGGTAAAAGGTGCCTGGAAGGAACTTTGCCCCACTATGCAGCAAATAATAAACATTTAAATGGAACATATGCAATGCAATTGGAATTGAGACTACAAGGCTATTACCATATACTATTGCAGATTATAAGTCTACGTTTTTCCAATAAAACAGCCTTTCAAAGGTAGTCGACCCATACAGGGAATCGTAAAGTCGACTTGGAATCGACTTTTCTGAAAGGTCCGACGAACGGTCGTCGTTCTAGAATTTACTGCTATTCGACACATCGATAAAGTCAGCCGCAGAGGCAATGGAGTCGTGGAAACTGATCGCGAAACCACAGTATAGCTATGTTGGCTAGAGGAGGAGGTGTCAGCAACAGCGCATTGAAGATGCATCATTTTTTCGAGACGCGTCACTGCTGGCATCACTGTATCAATGGTAGTGCCACCGTATCGGCGTGTCTGTCGGGCAAGATCAGCAACAACACCAGCACTCGCCGCATGACGGTGCACTCGGCTAGCAAAAAAACGTGACACGCGTTTATCGCTCACTAACAACGCGACAGACATCTATCTGTTGAGAAAAACTTGACATGGACCTCTCTCTCGCAAAAAATGTGATGTTTACCGTTCGCGAGAGACGTGACACGTGTCCTTCACTTTAGTGGACAGGGTGCCCTAACAGCACTTGCTCACTAGGCAATTACAAAATTCAGATTTCCCGCTAAGCACCATGGGCATTCCTCGGAAAAGCTGGCAGCGACGTGTGGGCTGCAACACTTCGAAGAGAACTACCATAAAAGTTAAAATATAGGTCGAATATAGAAAAAAGCAATGAAAAGTCAACTCTCATCTTATATACCAATCATTGGCATAAAAAAATGTAGAAGTCTCGCAACAATGGGCAGATGAAGTCGAAAGCCTCCATTGCCATCATGAGCATCAGCAGCAGCGCCACTTGGCAAGGTTACGCAAGGCCTACATTGTTTTAACAACGCCATTTTGCTTTGGTTATTTACTGCAAGTCCCCTGTTTTCTTCTGTCTTTTTCCTTCAGAAATGAGTGGTAGTCGACAGCAGTTTACGATAGACTTTCAGATAGAAGTTATTGAGTATGCAGAAGCGCACGGCGATCTGGCGGCACAACAGGAATTCGATGCATGAAAGAAAACTGGAGGAGCCAATAAAAGCAGCACATCACACCCTGCAGTAACAAAAAAAAAAGCATCGCTTCAAAGACGGACTGCAGTGCACCCCGAACTGGAAACACTACTCATTCAATTTATCCAGCAGCTGTGTGCAAGGTCGCTACCCATAACGGCAGAGTGCAGCCGCGTGAAAGCTCTTGAGAGCGCGTGCGACTCTGGGCTCACAAAGGTGCAATTCGAGGGATCACCATCGTTGGTGCGGCGATCTATGAAACGGAATGGCTGGCATATTTCAATCTTTCCACAAATGTTACATCAGCAATGCATTGGATGGACCGGAGGACGATGCACTCTGGGACGTTACTAGTAAAAAACAGACGTCGCCGGACTCAAGTTCGGCAGTATGAGCGACAGCATTTTGTGGCCTTCTGGCGTTTAACTACGCAAGATTAGTGTCAAATAAAAAAAAAATGTCATCGCAGTGCAGTTGGTTGTGTCGCGTATTTATCGAGGTAAGGGTGCGCCGCGATACTTTGAGATTTTTAAAATTTTCTTTTACAGAGATGCAACCTTTGGGGGGTCAACCTACACTACGGTTTTGACGGTAATCCACATGTCCAGCCACATGCACCTACAAGCGTCTTCACGTCTTTTTGCACTCACCGCTGTTCGCCTGTATTCACCATTTTTGCATTTTGCTCGCTTGCGAACAGTGTTGTGTGTCATTTGCAAAGCTGCTCAACGTACGCCAAGGTGTCACCGCTACACGAGCAACAGTACAGCGCTGCTTTCAAGCGTCAAGCGATCCTCTGTGCACAGCCGGAAAGCAACAATAAAGCTGGGTGCAAGTTCGATGTGCGCAAAACGTGCGTGAGGGGATAAAGAAAACAAAGGACCTAAATCTTCGCATGCACCGTGACACACCGTTTGTATCGCCGACCTATGTGGAGGCTTATTCAAGAGTGGGTTCACAACCAGAGAAGCTAAAGCCTGAGAGATAGCTACGATCATTTTTAAGAAAAAGCGTGTACCATCACGAAGAATATGAGCATCCCGCTAACCGCGTTCAAGCCGAAGCGAAGTGGTGAGCGATATAGATTGTGGGAATCGAGGCTAGCCCCCTGCCTTTGCGCGGGCTTTGCTGCCTCTTTCTGCGTTCTGATGTCCTGACATGACTCTCCCCTCCTCTGCGGTCTTTTGTGCTGGGAGAGCGGGGAGTGACGTTTAACCCCTCTCACCGGGTAGCGGATGACTGTGGCGCCACGGGCAGTCTCTCAGAACGTTTTGCGCATGCGCGTCGGAAGTGAGAGAGAACCTCTCCGGGACGACAAGGAGTAAGCACGCATTTCTTTTCCGTCCGTCGGCTCTCCATTTGTTTGGGGCTCATTCGGACTTCACCAACGCCTTGCACCTGCAGCGAACGCTTACTTGTTGTCGCCCCCCCTTCCGAACGCTAGGCCGAAGAACGGTGCGGTGCCCTAGTGAGTGGCCAGGCTATGCCAACCCGTATCTCTTCGAAGCCAACGCGAGCGCCTTTGCCCTCGCTCGAGCAACCGGGCCTTTTGTTCCGGTGTCCCCGTGAATCACCTTTGCCTATGGAGACATGCTCGCGACACCCCTGTGTAGTACTTCTCCGTGGCGTGGATAAGCCCATTTGCTTTCCAACTGTGCCTTTGCAACAGGCTCTGTACTGAGCTTTTGGTGTTGCTGCAGGCAATAAAGTGTTGCGACCTTGAGCAGTACAGTGTTCTCGCCAGAGCGATGATTAACGCGTGCTCTGCAGCTCGCTAAGACCGGACCCACGCTAGTGGCCGTACTCCTTCGGGATACATGTACACTACAGGATTGATGATGCCCAATATGGACTGCCGACATGGTCCATGCGGTGTTTTCCACATGCGGCATCTCGGTACCACCAGCACCCCTTCCAATAGCGAGCAGCAGCAGTGGCTCACACGATGGGCAATGACTGACCGCCACATCCTTCTCTCAAGCGACGAGTATAAACGATGTTTCACGGGCAAATAGATGTGAAGACTTACTGGTGTGCTATGGCCACAGCATGAGGTTGCACTTTGAGTCAATTTTTTTTTGCCTAAAAAGGGGTTGCAAATTTGGGATCGATTTATATTGGGCAATACACAGTATTCAACATTGTTCCCACTTTTTCTGGTAAAGAAAAAAAGGACACATGCAAGGCCTTGTTTCAATTTTTAAGAATTAGTTAGGTCATGTCAAATATGCCCATTTTTCTTTTTAATATGTGATATTTAGTATTGGAATTCAATTTGAAAATTATTTGACCAAAATCACTATTCGCTTCAAACTTGCAGTTTTCTTTTTCGTCATTTACGATAAGAAATTGATTTTGTGGGGTTTAACATCCCAAAACCACCATATCATTATGAGAGACGCTCACGATAATAAAGGACCAACAGCTCCACTAACAATAAACTGATCTGCCCCTCAGACAAACCTGACGAGCAGTTTCCACAGGACCTTGCTCTTCAAGTGTCGCCCCCTCGCATTTATGGACATCGTCATCGATCACATCCGAGGTTTTATGTCCCAAATCCTCGCGTGATTATCAAAAACGCCGTAGTGGAGAGCTCCAAAAAGCTTGACCATCTGTTTTTCTTTAACGTGCACCGACATCACACCAGTAGGCCATCGTCATCGAGTACAGCTGCAATGGTCACAAAATGAAAGCCCAGTAGCCTCGCTTACAGGAGCGAAGTCCCACTGCCACAGAGATGGTGTCACGCATAGCGTTAGAAAGACGAGCAAAGGCTGCTCACCCAGCGATGTGCAGAAGTGCGAGTGGGCCTCCAGGGTCTTGCAGCATCGCTGGTGTGCCAGCTCCCAGACACGCAACGTCTTGTCGTCTGAGCAGCTCAGCAGGTATTTGCCACCGGGGTGGAACTTGACACCACGCACCCAGTTGTCGTGGCCCACCTGAAATTCACAAGAGATACAGTGGAGCCCCGATTATACGACTTTCACGAGACCCCACAAAATTGTAGCGTAATCCGGGCATCATATAATTGAAAAACTAGAAATATAGGCAGTGATACTCAGTCTTACCAAATAAAAAAGGGGGGACAGACCGCCTAAAGCCAACAGCACTATCTTGCGCTTGTTCAAGGAAGGTAGATTAATTATCTTCGAAAATGAAAGCTAACGACGGCATTGTTTAGTTGAAGCAGCCGTAAGCAAATCTTCATTCTCAAACTTAGAATGTCTAATCCATTCATTTTATTTTCCAGAGAGAAGAGTAAAAAATTGCCTGTGCATGCAAAGGAAATCAAAACCACATTGGCAACAACCTTCCGTCCGAAGAGTGACACAGTGAGATTCCCAACACATAATGGCCACAGACCGTGGGTGTGCGCAGATGCCTTCATGCGCGACTGAGCAGTGCGCTTTGTAATTTGTTGCCTTGAAGTGTAGCTGGTGATGTCCCACTGTTATTACGAATGTTTACATCTAACCAAAGTTATTTTTCAGCGTGAAAATTGCTGCATTGAGTCCTTTTGCATACTCAAGGCCTGTGACAGTGAGTGCTACAAACAAAGGCAGGAGATCAGCAGTATGTCGTCCAGGAAACGTTGCCATGGACCAAAAAAGTAAAAATATCCGGATGTCAAAGATGATCTTTCCATCAAGCTGGAGCTACTCCATGTGGATACAGCTTGTGTAGGTAACGACCCTAGACACACAAGCTATCGAGGCATGTAAACAGAAGCGCCGAAGTGCCAGGAGAATAAATTTTTCACTCTACGACTTACTGTCTCAACTCACTGGACTTTTCTAATAGTCAATGAAAGAGAACACAGGTTCTTACCTAGCACTTGCGCATATTTGGTGGTTGCCATTCAATACGAGTAAAGAGTTTTTATTGCGATAGCAATTATATGGACACTCTCAGCTGGTTTTTGATGCCCACATCAGCTGTCATTCACCGAATAGGTACACGTATCTATGTATATGAACACACAAGAAGGAAAAATAATCCAGAAAAAGACTCCCGCACGCAGAATCAAATGTCTGACCTTTCGTTCTTGAGTGCGCAGCGTTAGCTACTGAGCCACATAGAAGCACCTCCTTCAACATTGAAACGGCAAGCTATTTATATCTACCACTCAGCGCTGGCAGAGCCTATCTCAAGGGGACACAGCGCGTTTTCAGCATTACCAGCGAGATGGTGCGATGAGCGCGCTCGGCACTCATCTTGTCACGATGCGCCGATGCGTGCTCATGTCCCATGCGTGCTTTGCGCCGCGGAAGGGGAGGGGGCTTATCCGTGTGCTCATTCTGTGGTGAGAGAGAATCATGCGTCTTCGGCTTTCACTGGAACGATTGCGTTTAGTTGCCGGGTGCACAAAGGTCACTCACTGCACAAGCCCCATTTGCGAAAATAGCACGCTTTTCAAACACAGCGAAGTAACAACTGGGACGCTCGTTAGTTCATCACTTATACCTGTACCTGTGATTACGTTTAAACCGTCATTTTTGTTCCAGCACGTTAAGCGTCGAGCTGTAAACGTTGTTAGTTCGCTCTTGTCCTAAATGTTGTTCTGCGTATTTATGAGTGAGCTGAGCGCTGCAGGTTTCTATCTGCTTTCCGTTCTCAGCGTTACATTCTAAGTTGTTGCTATCGCGTTTGTTGCTTTGCCCTTGTGGCGAAACTGACGGTTTTTTTCCCTCTTCGCCAGAATTGGAAAGTCGTCAGCATAAAATTGCCTCGTATAGCCATTGTGTTTAATACATTACTTCCATGGGGATTTCGCTGTGACCAAACAGATTCGTCGTAAAATGAGAGTCGTAAGGAAAGCGGGAGCCGTATAATCGAAGTTTCACTGTATAGCAAGCTTGGACAGTGCATGTGCAATGCAATGACTGTTTTGCGTGTCACTTGCTTCCATTACTTTCGGAATTCGGTGCATGACACTTAGCAGTGAAAAAGTGGCAATGCCTTCAAAATGGCAACCGCTTACATCACACTTATTGTCTCTTTGTACTGCCTTGCACTAGAACTCCACATACACTAAATGTAGCTGCTGCTCTTGCTTGGAGCCATCCGACTTTGGCAATTGCCTATGGTATTTTTCTGCGTTCCCCGCACTTCTATGCAATGTTATAGTACTTTTTCAAGCGACACTAAAGCTCTTTTGATTGACTTTCTAGGCATGCAGGACATTATCGCAAGCACATTTGGCTACAACAGAACTTATGAAGTCTTGACATGAACTTTTAATGCTTTCTTTTTGACCATACAGTCTCCTGGTTATTTAAAACAAGTTTTGATGCAAAGTGAATGCATTCCAAAGCTTGTGTCATTGATGACTGAAAAATAAGATCAGTCTCTGTTGGTTAAGTGCGAAATAATTATGGAAAAAGCCGACGTCACTGCTTCGACAACAGCAATGCCGAGGATAAACTGCATAGCTAGCTTGGGCTTTCTTTCAATGGTGAAATTTCTATAGCCACCTTTCAGACTCCGCCACAACCGCGAATTAGACACAAGACCACATAGAGATGATACATGTGACAGATGTGGTGGGGGCTCAATTAATGCTGCTTTAGACCTGAAATTTTGGCAGGAAATCCGAAAAAAAACGGAAGCCGACGGTTTTTAGGATTCAAACTTTCAAATTATTTTGTACGTTGACGTCTACAGGGCAAATTTATAACTTAACTTGAAGGGAGCACAACTTTGTCTGCAACATCAATTGGGCTACCACAAAAGTTGAAAGAGGAGGAGAGGCTGAGAAAACAGCGTCTTCGCCTTTCACATGTAAAGTGTTGTTTTATAGGCAACACTTTAGATGCACCAAAATGAACAGCTGCGGCCACATCTGTACAAAGCGCGCGAGCAGCGAGTTTTCGCACAGCGGGTTGACACTTTGCGGCAGGTTCGGGCTCTGACGTGGTCAGACTGACTACTAGGCCACGCATGCATTCGACCCGTGTCAGTAACAGAGACTACCGCAAGGTGTCCCCCCGCAGAGCAATAACCGGCTGCTCGCGCTGTACACTGTACACAGATATGGCCGCAGCTGTACATAAGTACAGTTCAGCCTCTGGATAGCTTCATAAGATCTTGATAGGACAACTCTGAAAAACCACCCCGCCGGCGCTTCATCAATCTAGCAAAAAAAAAAAAACACTTTCGTGTTGCTATCTCATAGGAATATGCTTAGGAATTCTCTCCAACTTTGATTTCTGCAATTTCGCTTCAATGTATTTGAAAAATACTTTAGAAATATTCAAGAAATATCCTAATCAATTCACAGTTAAGCAGTCAGACTTAAATATTTTAATTTGTTTTGCACACAAAATTTCGCTATTCGCACAGCATTACTAATAAAGCATCAGGTCATGGTGGCAGCAATAAATCCTTTAGATGTATTGAAGTCCGCGAGGAGCTTTGCATTACCATGCATACTTAATTTAAAGTGCTACAATAACATTTTCACCTAATAAAATGATTATGTTTCCTTTCAGGAACTTCAAACACTTCAACTTGTAAATGTTCCATGCCAATTGAATCCAATATAGCAAACACTATGTGAAAAACAATCGAAAGTTTGAATATTCACATGCCCTGGACGAAGACTAGTCTTAAAATGCCAGTTTGCTTTCCACACAGAACGCTTTGAATTGCGATAAGTGCCAGCACCACCCACCAGGGTGAAGACGGCCAGGCCCGTGCTGACGTCCCACAGCTTGATGGTTTTGTCCCGCGAGCCCGAGGCCAGGAAGGGTCCAGTGCCCTGGGCCCGGCCTGCGCCACTGCCAGCTGGCCGCCGGTTGCTGTCTCCGCTGCCGTTGCCCCCCAGGTGCGGATGGGCACTCTCGGGTGCCCACGCGATGCACTCCACCACGTGGTCGTGCTCCCGAAGCTCCAGCTTGCACTCCTTGGTGCCTACCACCCACACACGAACCGTCTGCACAAAACAACACAAGGATCAGTGAACACTTGGCTAAAACAAAGGCTTGGGTGAGTCGGCTCAAACTTGGGAAGTTATAATATTTGGATTATCACGTCCCGAAACTGCAGTAGGATTATAAGATGCTGTAGTGGAGGGTTCAAGAAATTTCAACCATCCAGTGTTCTTTGACAGCCACTGATCATCGCACAGCACACAGACCTCTACAATTTTGCCTCTTCTGAAATGTAACTGCCACAACCAGGATCGAAACTGCGACTTTCGGGTCTGCAGCCACGCATACTTGGGAAAAATTAAGCAGCCCAAAAAAGATATGGAGCATGCAGAAAGACACACAAGTACATCCCTAAACTCAACTACTTTATTGCTTAAAACGCAAGGCTTTCTCAAAGCATGCATCAGAGCAACGCATGAAATCTTCATGTGATGATACTACATGCCGAAAAGTTGAACAGGATAATCAAGAAATAGTGGCATTTAACGCAATAACATAGCTATGTTCAGTCCTGTACCTGTATGTTCTTCTGTGTGTTCCGTCTTTTTTGCACTGTTGCATACTTCGAGAGGATCAGTGTTCAACCGATTCCTTACAATGCTAAATCTGCACTGCTGAAAGCAACCCTCGAAGTACCGGCTGCAAATATCAATACAGTGGAACCCCAATTATATGACTTTCAGGGGACCATAAAAAAACATTCTTATAATCCTGGCATTGTATAATTTCAAAACTATGATTACAATGCAGGGAAACACTTACGAAAATGCCATATATCGCACTTATGTAAGTTATATGTGGCAACTTATAAGCATATATGTCAGCATAAGTGGCTTCCGTTTACCATATATAGATGTATATCTGGCAGGGTCGGTTCATATATGGGGTTATATACAGCGGTATATAGAGCGGTTGGCCCCTATAGGGAGTCAAATCCGGCCTTACAAGGCACCACCACACCATATATAACATATAAAGTGGATCCTTATATGTGGAAGTGCTATATATAATATATATTTATATATATATATAAAGCACCATGATCGCAACCTTAAGCGGATTGTCATATATAACGATTCGTACACAAAGGTGACCTGCTTACTTTCTACAAGAGTATTAAATATATTGTTTCTGCCATGCAAAAACAAAATTTTAGGTCAGCTTGTGTACGTGATAGTTGCAACTATGCATGCATTCGTGTAGTTTGTACAAATTTACCATAGAATTTAGGTTTGAAACAATAAGTTGCAATTAATACAACGCAAATAATGTATATGAGAGAAGACATGTTTTACAAGGAAGGAATCGTGTCAGGTCACAAAACATATTGAAGCTCCCGAACCTCGCTATTATTATAGAGCAATCCCATATAGTATTATGTAAAAACGATATGCACACAACTTATATTGTTCCCATTAATGCATTGCTTGGAGCGGCAGCAAGAAATAGTTACTTCAATGCATTTTTAGCTTCCACATTGGTGGACAAAATTGCTGATTATTTGAAGGCTTTGATGGCTATATGCTCCCTTCATATAACAAGATTTCAGTTAACACTGTTCACCCCCCCATCTGCGATTAGTGTGTTTTTAGGCGCCGTTAAAGCCTAGCGAGTGGAATGGGTGCCCAAAGGACGATGGAGCCCGCGTGAGTTGTGCTCATTTTATCGACTTCAATGGCCGCCGCTTGTGGGCTCAACAGCCAGCGCGTCTCTGCAGACCGGCCAGACGCCAGTTGCACCGCCACCTTGGATTCATTAGCTGGCCATTTACCATCATTGCATGCACAGTGCGATGTTCAAGGGAGTATCTTCAAAAACAAAAAATGAACCTATGTGAATGCAACTTGCAGGAGATATGAATAAATTCAAGATGGAAGTTGTACTAATTCATTGCAAAAATACATCTTGCGTTTCCTTTGGCTATGTATAACGTTCTTGGCTGTGCAGATAGTAAGTTTATAAAAAATTTTATGATTGCACAAGTAAACAATTTCGTGTAATGTTTACAAGCGTCAAATAAATCTCACGTCATGCACAAATACGTTAAGAAGAGTGCAATTAACTCACACGTGATACACATTTAATAAACCATGTATTGAAATGCTGAAGCCTTATAGCAACATTTAACGTAGGCTGCCGAATTCACAAAACTTCTATTTTGTGTGAGTGTGCCATTACTTGGTCGAGGTCACTAATGCACATGTGCCATCATCAGGATTAGCTTAAACATTACCTTGTGAATACAATTATTATGACACATTTTTGCGAATAAGGGCTGGCGTGATGCCTAAGACAAACTCTACATTATGTAAACAGCCCCTCGCTGTGCAGGAGCATAATAATTAAAACTGCTTACGAACATATCCTTTCAACACTAAAACTGTGGTGCATTTACTTATAAAATATGTATGTCAGTACATACCCACCAAAATGTGCTATTACACACTCGCGTAAAGAGATTTACCATATTTACTCGCGTGATGATCGCACTCGCATAATGATCACACCCCCGAATTTTGTCGTCTAAATTCGACTTTTTTTTTTTCGCGTAATGATTGCACCCTGAACTTGCCGCATCGACATGTCATGTGCCAAGTCTAGCTGAACGCGTCCATTATGGTTTCTGTGATATGAAAGCGGGCATCACTATACTAATGCTGTAAATTTACCGCTTTAAATGAAGCCATTCCTTATTTAGATGGAAGAAACTGTTGTGATGCGCGTGACGTACTCACAGCCTCCATAAGTGACACAAAGGAGAAACAAAATGCGGTGGCTTCACTCCATGGAGTGCTTCGCTCCGTCAGCCGCCATGTTTGCTTTGATATCACGCACTATTACAGCGGCGGCCGCCTGTTGGTCAACCTCTGTTCATCCCACAGCAATGTTTTCTTTTTCCTGAGACCACTTCTTTTTTGGTGTGCTTTGTGATCGTCTGTTGAAGCGCCGTTTCACCATGGGGCGGTATGCGAGCTTTACTGCCGCGTTCAAGATGAAGGCGCTTGACTATGCGCTAGAGCACGGCAATCGCGCTGCCGGCAGACATTTCGGCGTCAACGAAATCTGGATTCAATATTGAAAAAAACAGCGCGACATGCTCATGGCTACTAACAGCACGCGATGGGCTTTCCGTGGACCCAAATCTGGCAAGTTCCCGTACATTGAAAAGGCAGTCCTCGAATACGTAAAGGACATGTGCAAGGACGGTTATGCAGTGTCATTAGACATGATACGGACGCAGGCGTGCACAGTTTCCCGGAAGCTGGGAATAGCCACAAAGGACTTTCGCGCTAGTTCTGGCTGGACAACAGCTTCATGCGGCGAAATGGACTGTCGCTCGCATTTTCAACGCGCTCGACGGAACGGAAGATGACCCCCTGTGGGACAGTGAAGACACTGCCGGTTCCGACAGAGAATCTTGCGGCGACGACACTGACGCCAGTAATGCTTCAAAGTCTGAATGAATGTTAGGGGGTCAGAGAGATAAAAAATAAAAGGGCAGTGTGCGATGCATGCAGCTCTTGCGTAATGCGTGCATTTTATTACAAAGATAAGCCTTAATTTACTTTTATTTTTGGTTATGTTCATGATAGCTACCGTAAGAATTCTGATTAGCGACTTTTTTTTGTTTCCGGTGCTCAGAATATTTGTTCACGGAAAATTTACTCCGCGTAATGATCGCATCCCGAAGTTGGAGTCAATTTTTTTGAAAAAAAAAGTGCGATCATTATGGGAGTATATACGGTATGGGCACCAGGACACTAGCATTTCCTTCAATTTAGCCAGATATTTTAGGCCATGTGAGAATGATATGAGTGTATTATTATTATTATTACTATATTTACGTGTGTTTTGATAAGGACATGTAGTGAAATTTTTTTTTTTGATAGTTTGGTTCTTCAAAGCAAGGTGCGATGCTCACGAATCGAAATGGAAAAACTTAGGAACAGCCCATAATTTGGTTTCCACCATCCACAATTCGGGTGATATAATTGTAAATTTGACTGGAATGCATACATCACAGGCAACAATATCGTTACAGATGTCGCAACATCGCGTGGTTATCTTGAGGAACTGCACATACCCGCATACATAATAACACAAAATAATGTGATGTCACATTTTAATCCGTGAGCACTGTAGATAGTTTTACGCAAGCCGATAAATGAACTGGTCTGATGCATTAGGGCTTGCGCGTGATTATATTGAGGAACTGCACATACCCGCATACATAATAACACAAAATAATGTGATGTCACACTTTAATCCGTGAGCACTGTAGATAGTTTTACGCAAGCCGATAAATGAACTGGTCTGATGCATTAGGGCTTGCTACTGTGTGAAAAAACTGGGTGACCATTAAGCTCCGTTTTTCAGAGTTAAACGGGATAGCAATATCCTGTTTCTTGTGCGTGATTCAACCACTCAGTGTGTACTTTTCATTGTATGATGCTACTTGAACAATTTTAATTGTGGAATAGTACTGTGTAATTGGGAAAGTTGAGTGTCTTGTCTCAATGAAGGTTTCGCACATGGCTGCCTTTTGTATAAAAAAAAAGGTTAGTATAGTTTAAAGCACAAGCAATATTACGTTATTACTGAGTTGCGTTAAAAAATTGAAATACAACACCTGGACAACGCACACTGACAACTGAAACTTTGTTGGAAAAAACAGACCTATATATGTGGTTACGAGACCATGTGCAGTGAAAAAAAATTATTAGATGAGCTGACAGATTGTATTAGTGATGTGCTTCCAGAAAAGCTACCTCAGTGGCAAGCAACATAAGCGATTGTTACAGGACACATGAACCACCAGCTTTGTTTATGAGATACGCCTCTTCAATTTCCCGCACTACCGTATCCCTCAATCTAGCTTTAACTACTGTATCATCAAACAAGGGCGCGCAGCCGCACTCTCTACAATGTGATGATTGGTTAGAGCATGGTTCTCCCTTTAAAGAAGCTTCGTGATTCACAATTAGTTTATTGAATCCTAAAT